AGACGTCACGGGCTCTTTCTGGCTTCTTCAGCCCTCAGCTATGGAATTTTCAACTACCGCAGCTCAGCCAGTCGGAGCCGACTATTAGACATGCTATCGCTGCACTCGGCGCTGCCCATGAGCGGTCCATCTTGAATCCTTCAGCAGAAAACGCGGGGGTTACGGAGCAATTCATACTTCAGCAGTATAATAAATCCATTCAATATCTGATGGAGCACCTCACCGCGCCAAAATCCCAGTCGGTTGACTTGTTGCTGGTCACATGTGGTTTATTTGTATGCCTAGAAATCGTGCGAGGGAACAATAAACAGGCGTTCAACCACCTGGCAGCAGGGGCGACCATTCTCCACAGACGGGGCCATTTTGCTAAGACAACTCCCCAGTCCATGGATATTGATAGGGAGCTATCCCACTTATTCTTTCGGTTAAATATGCAGCTATCTCTCTTTGGACGCCCATTAGTCCCCCTCACCATTGGTCATAAAGGCACACAGCCTCCTTCCGCAGAGGGAAAGGTCTCGTTCTCCACCATTGAAGAAGCCAGACACTGCCTGGACGGGCTAATGAACAAGGCCTTGGGATTCGTGCGTCTAAGTCTTCAGAACCCGACACCAAGTGATGCTACAAGAATACAACAGAGACAGAAACAACAAGATATAAAGGAGGAGTTCGATGCTTGGGCAATGGCACTAAACAAGATGATGGCGCGGAGAGGGAACTCCAAAACGTTGGATAAGCGTGGACCGCTTACACTCAGACTTCATCATCAAGTCTCGCTGATATGGCTGCAAGCTTGTTTCGCAACGGACCAGATGGGCTTCGACAACTTCCGTTCAAATTTTGAAACAATCGTCCGTCTTGCGGAGGAAGTAGTTCGCCTGGGCCCTGATCAGGAAAAGCCGTCTCCCGTGAATGGGTTTTCCCTCGAATCTGGAATAACTCCCCCGTTGTGGTTCACGGCGGTGAAGTGTCGTGATCCCATCATTCGACGAAAAGCTATCCAGATTTTATCAGATTATCGTAAAAGGGAGGGGATGTGGGACATGGGGCTCTTTTTTAAAGTAGCTGAGTTGGTCTTGGAGTCAGAAGAGGCCGAGCTATCCTCTTTGCCCATTGAGAAAAGAGTGCCTGAAGACCGGCAACGCATATATGACCCAATATTGCCTGAAGAAATTGTGGCGAGTCCGTGTCAGGTCATACTGCTGTCGAGACCCGATGGGGTGGACGGGGGTTGGCACACGCGGACCACATACATTAGTTGGACGTCATAAAAAGGACGAGTCTCACTTGACAACAGACGATCAAACCAGATGCAGCACGATGCACTTAGCATTATATGCCGCGTACCCTATGCTCAACATACAGAGCACAAAGTACACACCACCGAGTCGTAGGGCTATAGCAAGAGAAGCGGTAAGACCATCTGGCGCTGGCAATCAGACTGATCTTTCTGGAAATATGAACGGATCCCCAAGCCAGGTGCAAACCTAGATTTTGCTTTGTTTTCAGCCGCTTTATGCCCTTATTTTGACTAGATGGAGGTTATCTGACCAGCTCCTAACAAGCGGAGATGCACCTATCCACAATGAGTCTATTCCGTCAAACTGGGACGGCCAAGGCGGCACGAAACAGGAATACTATCTGCACTACTTGTTTACTTCGCTCTCAAGAGTTGCCGATATCAGTCGATCGTGAAATCTTAGTTGGTCGGCAACTATGTATCGTTCGCTCCTTTTACCTCTCTTCCCCCGCGGGTGACTGCCTAACCAATCTTTAACAATCAACAGTTCAACGCAGCCAAAGATAGATTCCGAATACGCTTTATTGAGGATATTCTCTCTATTATTGGGTTCTAAAATCCAGTGCGTAAAGATAATGTGACCTCACTGGCTCTCCGGATATTCCCAGTCAAAGACCTGACTCCATTCTTCCAGCACTACTACTTTTCACTATTGAATACAAAGGCCTATAACTAGTATTCGAACAGCTGATATATATACCATGCTCCGTATCATTGACTGTATTCCTTTTCCTGATTGAGATATCTGTCGTTGAGTACGTTCCCGAGCTGCAAGGAGCAGCCAACAATCTTCAGCGTAAGGCACCAGGGATGGAAGATCTTATTGACTACCGGTGCTGAGAGGAAGTGAAAGTGGTAGGGTAGCAATCCACTTGTTTAGACTCCCCAGGCACTGTAAGTTAAAGCCTAAATTGTTCACTCGTGAGTGGCGGTCGCATCTATTCGTCCGAAGGCAAGGATATAACCGCTGTCGGTTGACGAGGTTAAAACAACACCCTTCTCCCTCTGTCTTTGACAAAGTGATGACTTAAATTTACCTCTCATACTTCATCCTTAGCTTATTCACTTGGTGCAGCTTGCATCATTGCAGCAACTATTGATGTTGCCCTTGAGCAAGCAGTTAAGTCAAAATGCACGGAAACAGTTCAGCGAGTTTTACTCCCCGATGAGCGAGTTCAACTGCTCTGTTATAACAGTCACAGACGACGGCGTGGGGCTGAAAGTCACGCAATAGCTCAATGGCTGACAATGTGTCAGAATCGATCATGGCAGCTTACAATCTGACGGAGTTGACCGATGAGAGTGTTCATTTCTATCCTACGGGGCTGTAGACTTCGAAGCGAATTTCATCCCGTGCCGTTATTCCGAGTTCTCTTACAGGAACCACCGCAAGGAAGTGGACGATGAACTGTCCGTACCATAGCTCCGCGGAAAGTCGAGAGAATGCCTGACTTGGATGGCCGTAGATGGCATTTACAGGGGTGGGCTTTCTCTTTTTGAAGTCGGTGATACAGATACAGTGACTGCCGTATCTTCGAGGGGCGGGTTGTCTCTTCCTAGACTTTGAGTTTACGCTCGATGAATGTTGGAGATTTGAGTTCCTTGGGATATGCTCGGTCATATAGAAACATTTCCATCCAAAACAAAGATCGTGTATAGGCTCAATCCATAAATCATCGCTGAGGAGAAAATTATCACCCAAGGCATAGCAGTACTTTAAAAGTTATATGGAGTGATAACTGGAACATTCTACCTGTTTACGGACGCTTTAGGGCTTCCCGTAAAATCCCCTATCTCGCGCGCTGAACGCAACAGCCTGAGGCTGCCGGTATTAGTCATCGCAAGTGTACGGTATGACAGGACAATACAGGTACAGTACCGAGGTGTAACACCAACACCATGGAAAATTGCGTACTAATGCTTCTGAGAAACCCCCTAAGATGCAGGTGCAAAGGTGCAGTCTCCGGCAGTAGCATAAGCCTTACATGTGCGCAACTGCTAAAATCGACGAGTAAAGATGAAACCCTAGTGGCTTAGCCTGGTCACGTCATTCGTGTATCGGAAGAACGCCTCCAGTTTTCTCGACGTCATGACCAATCACGTGACACACCGCACCGTCGTCATGGCGGTCATTGCGCTCCGTAACCGCCAGATCGTCCTTTCGGAGTCTCACTTCCTCAGCTAGATAACGACCCGTCTTTTCTCTTCTTCAACTTCTCCGTCAGCCTCCATCCAACCCCGAGAGTTAGCCTCAATCGACAAATCAGTTCAATTCCTTTAAAAATAAGCAAGAATGGCTACCTTCCAGGATCGTGCTCAGCACGCTATCGCTCAGCTTGACAAGGAGGTGAGTCCTTGTTTGTGCGTGTTGATATTCGTATGAGAGAAATGCGTTGGCATTGATTGCTTGTGCCGAGGGGGATAACAATGATTCTGTGTTGATAATTTGACTTTGGACTTCTTCAACTAAATTCATCTGGTGGAACTGGCAGCAATTGACCGCTGCTTGTCTTTTTGTTTTCCTATTTTATTTTTTTTTCTTTGTATTCGGATCTCGCGAGGAAGGCTAATCAAAACATTTCTTGTGTGTGTGTGTTTCCGCAGCTCTCCAAGTACCCTGTCCTCAACAACCTTGAGCGTCAGACCTCCGTTCCCAAGGTCTACGTGATCCTGGGCCTGGTCGGTGTTTACACCTTCCTGGTGTTCTTCAACATCGCCGGTGAATTCCTTGTTAACCTGGCCGGCTTCATCATCCCTGGCTACTACTCACTCAACGCATTGTTCACCGCTGGCAAGGCCGATGACACACAGGTACGTTTTAATTCTCATCTGACCCTAGGCGCTGATCGAATAAGCTGACTCTTCGTGATTCCTGTAGTGGTTGACGGTATGTTCTTGTGATCTTGTTTTCCCTCTGATCTATACCGCTTTGCACCTAGGCCGTGTTCCGAGCACGTGACAGGTTTCCTCGTATGAATCGGCATGACTGATTGACATGTGAATCGGATAGTACTGGGTTGTTTACGCCTTCTTCGCCGTCGTTGAGAGTGCTGTCTATGCTCCTTACTGGTTCCGTAAGTAGTGCCTTTCTGTTCTTCAGTTACGGTGGCTTTGTTGGGAACAATGTGCTGATCTTCAATTTAACTAGCCTTCTACTACATCTTCAAGTTCGGTCTCGTTCTCTGGATGGCTCTCCCCCAGACCAAGTAAGCTTTCATTTTCTTTTCTTCTATGAACTCGATCATGAACCTGAGCTGACCCGATTTTCTAGCGGTGCCCAAGTCGTCTTCCACTCTTTCATTCAGCCCGTCTTTGGCCGCTTCTTCTCTGGCGGAAACACCTCGGCCAACCTCCGCGCCCAGGCTGATGCTGCTACCAAGGCCCAGTAAACAGACCGTATAAGGTGATACGGCATTCGCGGCGTGTTCTGCGTTGCTATGAGCCAGGTTGGTCTTGGTGTTTTGGTACTTGAAAATAAAGAAACCAGTGAAGATTCGCTGGCGCGGAAAAAAGTGTCAGGTGAGAAGGCACTTCGACCTGAGTCAGATGGTTTTGGGTCATTCTAGCTGTTTTGGTATTTTGTCATGATTAGTAGAATTGCTTGATTTGTTTTGCGTGTTGGGTGAGACGCGGGGAACCACGCCCTCTTTCCACGAACGCGGGTATAGTTGTATTTGATGCGATGATGCCACTTTGTTAATCTGACGCACCATTTGATTTGTTTCAATTCCGGGTCCTTCCCCGCAAGATGTGTTAGCATCCGTGCTTGTTGAATCTCGAACAGTACAAGGATTATGAGCCAGTGGAACGTAAAAATACACGGGAAGACAGGTTGCAAAAAACCCCCAGCGTCGGAGCATGAAATTAACATCGAACCGTTACTCCACAACTCCGGATATACAGATAAGGATGCAAGCTGCGCATATCTTTGGAGAAAGAGAAGAAGAGAAAAGAGGAAAAGAACAGGCACTGCGACCCAGCGAAACCTTACAAATGTAATGATTTTTTAAATCAGTATAGTCCAAAACGATTCTGCCAGCCATCTGACCGGGGGTTTAGGACAATCCTGTAAGGAAATGGGTTGGAATCGCTTGTCGTGATGGGCGGAATATGATCCTTTTCTCGGTTGACTACGGCGAGAATCTTCAAGGCTGCCTTTTGAAGCATATTCTCCATCGCCTTGCGCACTTTGGCGCGTTCTACATGAGCAGTCAGCACTGACATGCATTCGTACAAGCTGCAGAACGCCATGTATGGGGCGATTTTTCGGTGGCAAATGCATACCTGATTCTGTTCGTGGAGTGGCGATTGTCACATCCAGATTCCACACCTCCCAACATACTTCTTCCTCGCCTTTTCCAGCAAGTCCGCCAAACCAGATTCCGGAGCGCCTGCGCTTCTTCTCGTAGAACTCTACTGCGATCCGACCGCGCACACCGCCGCCCCCTTCATGGGCACTAGCGGCAGACGAGGAGTGCTGGCGGACTAGGGCGCTGATACGCGACTCAATCAGAGTCTCAAGGTCTTCATCGTTAATAGCGGGGAGAGTAAAGTCTAGGACATCAAAGGTAGTCGGTCGGATAGAGGGAAAGTAACGGTGAAAGAAGATTAGGTTGAGAACACCTATAGGAGAGGGGGTGTCAGTTACGTATACCAGAAGAGTTATTAACGAACAAGCTAGATCTAAAAAATGTTTGAATAGAATAATGTACCTTTTAAGACGTCCCGGACGGTGGTGGTGTCTGCAAAGATCTCCAGGAAGTACTCCGGAGGGGTTTTGCGGGGCTCCATAACGTAACGCGTTCGTGTTGGGGATGCGAGAGATGGATCTGAAACGAACGGTGGGGATCCCGTTCCCTTTTACTGCTCTATGGATTTGATAGCAAGTTTCCGATGACGACCCAGCTACCGCAGCGAGCTGGGCCGTAAAAACGGTGCGATGTCACCGTTCTTCACGGGGGTTTCGGGCAGTTGAGGAGTGGCGGAGAAGATGACAATGTCGAATGCTGGGGGTGTAAAGGCGTAAGAGTGCTGTCTAGATTTGTATGGGTTGTATGAGATACTTGACTGTGATGTTCACGGAGGATGCATGATTCTCTAGGGATATTTCTGGTAGGTCAACCAGCAGAGGAGAGCGACATGGGTATGTAGACGAAAAGAAGAGTTGAAGAGAATGAACCAGTGGATCAGGAGGGAGACGGTGACCATTCCGGCGGAGGAGGTTGCCCCTCGCCGATAGTGACGGAAAGATAACGGTGCCTTAACTCTTTTGGAGTACGGAGTACCTGAGCGTTACTCAATTTGACCCTACCTACAATGAATTTGTGTTAAAATGAATAAGGTAAAATTATACAATAAATGTAGATGAACCACTTCAGAATTTATAGATGATATACATATATTTATTGATTTATTTATATTAGATTATATTGACGCTTGATGTAAAAGGGAAAAAAAACAAAACAAAGCTCTTCTCCAATTTAATACGTCCCCGACAATCATAGCACCACCCCATGATTTCACGTTGCTATCGAACTTTAGCCGAGGCCGCGCCAGACGGTTGCCATGCTTTTATCTTTCCCCGACCGTCTCTCTCGGCTGTCATTGATGATCAGTCCTCCTTCGCCTCCTCTCCCCTTTTATATTCTCTGGCATTATCCTGCCTGTGCTTTGCTATTCCTTTTGTCATACCCTATGATGAGCTGAATTGATTTATTTTCTTGAGAGAGATTATCCGCTTACCTCCGACCGCTCCACCATGATCGGTGCTACTAGGCGCTGGTTCCGGCGCAATCGCAAGGGTCTCGCGATCGGGGCTGGCGTGATCGGAGCCGGTTACCTTGCAGGACAATATGTGCTCTCCAAAATTTCAGAAGCACGGGAACGTATGAGCAGTGATCGGATCGCTCGGGAGAAGTGAGTAGCCTCCCTGTGCTTGTCGGGTGTGTTCGTGTGCTCGCGAGACGGTAATTGACGTATCATACTCGAATGTTGCAACCTTCAGTTTACGGCGACGTTTCGAACAAAACCAAACCGATTGCACCTATACCGTTCTCGCTCTCTTACCGACTGCTGCAGAAGATATTCTGGACGCTCTTCCTGTCGAGGAATTGACGAAAGAACTACAACGAAAGCGAGCAGAGAGGTTAGCTCGGCTCAGCGCCGGGGAAGGGACCGGATCAGATCTGAGCTCTGTATCCCCCAGCTTACCGGAGGATGACCGTCGGAGTCTATCCAGTTTCCAGAGTGATGGATTCGTTCGCACAAGCCAGCCGGGAGAATCTTCCGTTGAGGGCGATGGCGAGGCGCGACCGAAAAGAAATAAAACACAGCTTTGGAATGAAGTTAAGATCACTTGTAAGACATCATCTCAAACATATTATCTTGCGGAAACTGAAACTGATCGGCTTGTTACAGCTATCACTAGGTCCTTCACTCTAGTCTATACCCTTTCGCTGTTGACAATCTTTACGCGAATCCAACTCAACCTTCTCGGCCGTCGGAACTATCTTTCCAGCGTAATCTCTATGGCGACACCCCCTGCCAACGAATCGACGATCAGGCTGGAAGATCATGACGATGATGACCTCACACAGACTTTGGGAAATGATTTTGAGACCAATCGCCGCTATCTTGCCTTCAGTTGGTGGTTGCTTCACCGAGGTTGGAAGCAGCTCATGAACGAGGTACAGACTGCCGTTACAGATGTTTTTGGCCCCCTTAACCCTAGAGAGGATGTCTCGTTGGCCAGGTTGTCCGAGCTATTCCTGGAGGTTCGAAAGAGAGTAGAAGGGCATACTGAGGAGGAAAGAAAGCATGTTCCTTCTTGCCCCAGAGCCAACCGAACTTTTTACTAACCGTTGCTATAGGCACAGGAAGTGGCTGTCCTATCTACTCCCCCCTTGCGAAGAGGAGGATAAAGTACTAGAGGAGTCCGGTGTCCTTGGAGTGACGGAGCTCGCCAACTCCCAGACTGCAACTACCTTGCGACATCTACTGGACGAGACGGCCGACCTGATCGAGTCGCCAACCTTTACACGCGTCTTGATGCTTCTGAACAATGAATGCTTCCAGACATTGATCCATCAGTGCACCGCCGATGCCTTCAAGTCGGCTTCACAAACTCCACGGAGCGTTCCCCAGTCATTTACTTCATTTGCCACGGTTGTCCCGGGAGCTGATAGCTCTGAGCCAAAGGCAAAGTTAGCCAACATTCTAGCGGTTTTAGCCCGCCAAGCACATGTGATTGGCAATGGTACAAACCCGCCAAATCTTTACCTAACTGCGATGGACCAAGGTGTGCGAGAGTTAGAAGCCTTCGCAGCTGTAGTGTATAGCTCTAACTTTGATTTCGAGCTGATTGGGTCCGGAACGAAGATGGACTCTCCAGGAGAGGAGACGCCCGGCTCGGACACGGTGTTGGTCGAGAAGGAAGACTACGATGGATATGACCGCAATCAGGTTCAACAGCCGCCGACCGCAGGGCCCGGTGCGGATTCGGCATTTGAGAAGGCGTGGGGAAAAGCAATGGAAGAGCAGCCATCGACTGCTACGTAGCCAGGCAGGCATGCTTCTTCCCGGAAGCGGCGGATATTATCAATTCACAGTGCTTCTTGGACTTGCATAATGTTTTGGGGGTGAGGTTGGTGGGGGGGGGGGGGTTGTAGTTCTTGTATGATATTTTCTGTGCATTTTCACGAAAGCATGGCTTTCTATGACGGCGGTGTTCACCGCAGTTACAGCTATTATAGATGTTCCTATCAACCTCCCCACATTATGGTAGAATAGGCATGTCAAATATACAAATGACTTATGGATTCTATTGTTGGAAAGAAGACACCCTCAAACCACGGACTTGGTGCGAGCTGAAGCAGACGATATCGTCCTTAAGGAAGGCAAGGCAATTCCTTTCCATGTATACAGTTAATAGGATGGCGGAATTACAGCCGCGGGAGTTTTAAAACTAAACGCAGGGTAACAAGGTCACAGTAGCATTTAGACTTTCCATCAGTAACAAACAGATTACTCCGGAGTATATAATGCCAATAAATGCCGAACACTCACTCCACTGATGTTCTAGTCCCATTGATTACTGATACTAGCGTGGGGAGGTCGTTTATGTAATCGTCTTTAGCGGACCTTTTAGTTAAATTGCGGGGAAAGCAGCTTAGGGCAATACGGAGTAACATTGGGGTTGGTTACCTTGATCTCCAGTAATGTTGCGGGTGAAAAAGTATACCATGTGGTTGACATGCATATGGCCAGGCCTAATGGGCCCCCGGAGTTAAAGTTGTCATGTCATGGCCCGGGGATGGAGTTAAGCTCCCAAGCTGCAACAAATCTTATCCAGCCAATCTCAATTGACCATGCTTATTCGGGCTCTCAAGGTAGCAGTACTAGTAGTTGGGTACTCATGACCACGAAGTGACTCGTACTCATAATCCTTCCGAGCACAAGAGCAGCAGCATTATGCATAGACCGGCTTTGACTAGTCTTGGCCATCGGCAGTGATCAGGACCGATTGATTTGGCAAAACCTTCCTTGGTTTTCCCTCTGTCGTCTTTTGTTTCTCCCCTCTTCTTTGTGGCTTATATTCTCAATCTTTTCTCCTAGTGGTGAATACATTGAAGTTATCCCTTCGTTCCCTTTTGTCAGCCCGCTCTATCCCCCGACAGTAAGCGATAACAATCTACTCTTTCGTGCGGTAAACAATCAGGGGGGAGAATACGTAAAAGAAAAGCGGTTAATCAAGAGAACTCGAAGTACATACATCATGGGATTCGACGGTAAGGTGAGCAAAGCACCTTACCATGAGCATGATGCTGACTTACATATCGCGCGACCAGAGCAACTCACTCCACAAGATGACAAGAACGAAGGCCACGTCGATGCGCACCCGACCGATCTCCCCCAGCTGAGGAATACAACGGAGCGCAAGCTTATGGCTAAAATCGACTGGCACATAATGCCCTGTCTGTGTGTTATGTATCTGCTCGCATTCTTGGATCGGTATGCCCCGGATTGGCTTCCCCATGAACACAACTGAATAGCTATCTTACGTTGCCCTTTGCGAACAGCGTGAACATCAGTAACGCAGCAGTCCTCGGCCTACAAGAAGACTTGAATATAGTTGACGGGACGAAATATAATACTGCACTGACCATATTCTTCGTTCCATATGTCATTTTCGAAATTCCATCCAATATCTTGCTTAAGAAGTTGAGACCCCATGTATGGTGTAGGTATTCCTGATATACCGCAAGTAGGAGGGATGAACTGAAAGTCTGGTGGCTACTCTAGTGACAGGATGTATGTTTTTATTCGGTCTGGTAACGATCTGTCAAGGCCTAGTCTCCGGTTGGGGCGGGCTAATGACCACTCGGTGGTTTCTGGGTAAATCGATAACCCTCTGGTCAGTGTAACACTTGTCGACTGACATATCCTATCTAGGAATGTTTGAGACAGGCATGTTCCCTGGTTGTACGTTCTGCTCTTTCCCTTTTCCCCGCTCGATATTACGATTACTGACAGTCTTATGCAGGTTTCTATCTCTTGGGAATGTGGTATAAACGGAACGAGGCACAGAAGAGGTTCAGTTTCTTCTTTAGTTCGACCACACTTGCGGGCGCTTTTGGTGGCTTGCTGGCTAGTGGGCTTGGAAAGATGGATGGGATTCGTGGCTACCGAGGCTGGCGCTGGGTCTTTATTATTGAAGGCTTGATCACCTGTGTCGTCTCGCTTGCCTGGTTCTTTGTTATTCCTGATTTCCCCGAAGAAGTCAAATGGCTCACCGATGAAGAGCGCGAATTCATCCGGGCAAAACTAGCCAAAGACTCGGGGGGCGCCGGTCATGATGCTAAAATAGGTTGGCGCGACATATTGGAGGTCTTCAAAGACTGTGAGTGATATGATGAGCATGCCAAAATATCTTCGCGATGCTCACAGTGTATTCCAGATAAGATATTCATCGGTGGCATGATGTATTTCGGTCAGGTTGTCACAGCATATGGTAGGACAGACGCATATGCTTCTAACGTGCGCCTTCACTGATGTTGAGCACGGTTGCTAACAACGCGCAGGATATGCCTACTTCGCGCCAACCATTATCAAAAGTTATGGCTACGATGGTACGTTTGTCTGCTATTTATTGTGCACCTTGCACTCTATTAAGCCTTTTTTTCTAGCAATCAAGACCCAACTATATTCGATTCCACCATGGGCAGCCGCTTGGGGATTTTCCATGTTGGTGGCCATTCTCTCTGACAAAACCAGACATCGGTTTGCCTTTACTATGGCGCCCATGTTGATTGCCATGGCTGGCTTTGGAATCTTGTTGAATGTACACGGGCAGGCCCATCGAAATATTCAGTACGGCGCCTTATTCATGGTTACATGTGGTTGTTACAGTGCAATGCCGGTCATTGTTTGCTGGTTCGCGATGAACCTATCAGGCCATCGTAGGCGAAGTGTGGGAACGGCCTGGCAAGTTGGATTTGGAAATAGTGAGTAAAACTTGGGGGGGGGGGGCCTTGATCTCATTCACCGTAGCTAACATGGCAGCAGTTGGTGGTATCATCTCGACGTACGCCTTCTTGAAAAAAGATGCACCGGAATACCGGCCAGGATATATCATCAGCGTGTCCTTCCTTAGCTTTTCGGCGGCTTGTTGCATAGGCTACTTTGCGGCCGTCTGGTATGACAACCGGCGCCGCGATCAGGCAATGGCCGATGGCATGGCTATACCCAGTGACGAAGAACAAGAGCTACTGGGTGATATGGCGTTGAACTATCGCTATAGCTATTAGCGTAGTTTCTTGGTCGTTGAACTTAAAAGAGATGTTGAGATGTCTCGTAACGATTTACAGGATCGATGCAAGGCTACGTCAGGCACATAGACGGCGCAGAGACACGGGTGAATGGTGGATATGTGATCATCTTCTGTTCTCTCCAAAGAGCAATGAAAATTTTTTCATATTTTTACAATCACAGATCACATTTAAATGTGGATATGCAGTAAGAGAGAAAATGAATTCCATAGATAGATGACATAATACCTTCTCGGTAAGCCGATGGCCAGCCAATCAACGGTAAGACAGCACTAGCGAACCCTTAGCGTCTCAGGATGCTGAGTCATCCACGACGCACACAAGAAGCTCGGCCGGCCGCTGCTCTCCGTCTTTCTTTCAACCATCTCCTCATCCTCGCAGAAGTGTGAGTATACAGCCCGGGCTGGCACCTGGTTGCCTCTTCATTGAATATCAACTAACGCTTCACAGTCTCGAACACTCTACGAAGATGAGAGCTAAGTGGAGAAAGAAGCGCGTTCGTCGTTTGAAGCGTAAGCGCAGAAAGATGCGTGCTCGCAGGTGAGTCATCTCAAGAGCTCAGAAATCAAGCCTCCTGTAAAATTGGACTAACGATGTGCACAGCAAATAAATGACTCGCCCAATCCATCTCAGTTCCCCATGCGGTGCTCACGTTGAATGCTGAACATGACAAAAGTCGACGACGTCACGATGATGATTCCCTGTTATGATCGTTTCGTGGTTTGGCCACTCCAACGGGACCTGGCTGGTCTGCTATTCTCTACATCCTATCGAACCCGGAGTCCGTCATTCAACGAAAATACAAATCCAATCTCTCGGGCTCATTCAACGGTTTCGAATTTTGACCAGGCAGGGATGCGCACTGCGTATCCTTCGTCTCGGAGGGCGAATGTGTTTGGTGGGGGTTGGAGGGGTCGTGGAAGAAGTTGATGGTCACGTTTATTATGTACTATTTGTTTTTATTCCACTGGCCCTTTGGGTTCCGTGTGGGATCTGGTCAATTGCTCTTCTTAGGGCTTGTGCTGTAGCCTACAGTTGCTGTGCAAGTCCTGAGCCATGGAGAGGTCCTCGAGGATTTATTACAAATTAAAAAGTTTGCAATGAAAGCAATGACTGAAAACCACCTGGATTTTTGAAGATGAAAGTATCGACGTAGAAATTTTGCGAGTAGTCCTTGCATTGTAAATTGATATGCAAATCGCACTTTATCAGTGGATTTGTGCGTTTGATATGATCCAATGCTTTCTTCTCCGCCTTGAGTGCGGAGACTAATTCTGCCCATAGTTCCCGCCCAGCAATTTTTTTTTTACTTGAGCTTCTTGATCTATAATTGATTGAATCTTACGAGGCTGTTCTCCACGCAAAGTCGAATTTATTCGCCCCCCTTCAGGTTTAATTCTTAGTACAACGCCATGCCTTCTGATAAGGTGGAAAAGAAGCGCAAGCGTGCTTCGAACGGCCACGAACGGCCGAGTAAAAAGCCCGCTCTCGAATTCCAAGATCTGCCTCCTCTCGTGGCCAGCGTGGTCAACGATGACAGTGAATTGGCTCCAGTGATCAGTATGCGCTCCTTAACTGCTTGACTACACTCCCAACCAGCGTGTACAGAGAATTGATCGCCGCTATAGTAACCACCCCCGGTGTGAACGTGCCCCAAAACCTTCATTTAAAACCATACCTCAAGGACCGAGCAGATGGCTCTCATTCAGGTCGCTCCACGCGGAACAAGGGCATAGTCTCGTCTGAACTGCTCCTGCAGACTTCGGAACATCCGAAGATGGATTTTGTGGGCCGCGAGGCCGAAGATGACGCCGATTCACAGTTGAAGCATTACATCGCCGTTGTGGATCCCGAAAAGAAAAGCTGGCAATTTGTTGAGGTGCGGAAGGTGACTCTTCGTGGAGCAGTGAGGAGAACAAAGGCTGCTGAAGATGAAGAGGAAGAGGTTGAGAGTGAAGATGAGGAGATGGTAAGTTCTTGTTTCCATGACCGGCGGGGGCATGGGTTACTGACAGATTCTAACAGAAAACGATGCGCGCCCAACGCACAGAACTCACCAATACATTCGGTACCAAGCAATCTCGCAAAGCAGCACAGTCCATGGCCGAAAATGCCCAACTCTCCAATGCCCCCGCTGGTGCGGCCTCCGCCGCAGAGTCTGCTATTCTTTCGTCCATGCCCCTCGACTCCGTCACCGACATTGCTACAAAGACCGCTGCGGTGCAGGCTCAAGTTCAAGCCAACAAACCACTGCCTCAAGCCAATCTGGCGGCATCTCATCCTTCCGATGTGTACCCGATTGATGTGCTTGTTCCGGGAGGTCTGTCTACACTCCAGCAGCTCCCGGGCATGAACGAGTGGCAGGAGACAGTGAACTCGGGAGAAGCCGTCGCCACCACCTCACGATATGTGTCTCGCCGGGTGGAGGCAGTCGTCAACTCAACCAATGCCACCCAGCTTCAAGTACTCCGTTTTATCTTCCTCCTCCTCGAGCTTGCCCGCGCCCTCCGCTCAAGCAAGGACTCCAAATCGTCTGGGCCAGGCAGCAAACGTCTTCCACCTCGCGATGAACTACGCCGCATCCTCTCCTCCTCCACAGGCGCCAAAACCGACTCAGCCGAACTCCTCCCAGATCCCGTCATCGACGCTATCCGCCGCAAATTCGCCCCACAGGGCTCCCATATCACCAAGAACGACATCACCTTCCTGCACACCACCATATGCGCCCTATCGCTGCACATTCCTCCTCAGCCAGCCAAGGACGGAGGCTCCAGCTCTCAAGGTGGAAACGCCCCCAACGAACTGGCAACGGATCCGTCTGATCTGCGCGACGATCTGCGCCTGGATAACACGGTCATCACGCAATATTTCCGCGAATTGGGCTGTCGCGTCGACAAGCCACGCGAAACGGAATTCGCAAAATGGGGTATCAAGGGTGGTAAGGCCGAAGCCAATGCTAGACGTGTGGCTAGATTGAGGGTCCCCGTCGAGTTCCCCAAGGTTAGCCGTGGTGGAAAGAGGTAATCTAATGGCCATTATCTCTTTCTTTTATATTGAACAAAACACAAAAGAATCTATTTGCGTTGAGCTTGTAAATGATGCGATTGGCGTTCGGTTTCAGGCTGTACTATATGTACATACTATTTTGTGGATAAATATCAAATTACGAAGTATCCAAATGTGCCTCTTCAACCTACTCTTTAAGTGGATTGGTGTTTGCGTATACCAACCGTAGACGATTTCACTGTAGAAAGCCATGCGCATTCTAGCATAACCAAAGTCCCTTAGATCCGAAGACCAGGAGGATGAAAAAAGCAAAGAATGAATGAAGCAATAGAGTGGAGGATCTATATGAAAACACACCCTCGGAAGCAAATATATAAATAAATGCTAACCCCACCCTAGTCTAAACAATGTGGTCTAAGCCCAATCAATTAGTGAACAAGTAGGCGGATACAGATATTTGTCTCTCTTACGTTCTTTTCTCTCTTTCTCTCTCCCCCTTTCTCTCTCCCCATTTCTCTATATATATCTCTGCCTATATTCGCACCCTCTTGTCCAACATTCGACTATCTAAGCTCTACATAGACAGAGGTTTCCACATGTGCTATCTGCCTTACCATGATTCTACCCTGTATACTAAGTGATACCATTGTTATAACTAGCCTAATCTGGTAGTAACCCCATGCTTCCTCTCTCATTGATGAGGAGCGTAGCTAATTGATTTGGTGGTGTATCTTGCCCATACGCTAACGATATATATATATAGACTTGGATATCAAGTTAGTGGACGAGTTTTCTATCCTATATAATACAACAGAAACGAATATACAAACAAATCGAATATCAACATATTCTACTCCTAAGTTTGATGACAAGGCCTAGGTAACATGGAGAAGGTTAGAATATGGGGAGGTATCGGTAAGATGAATCTATCTAATCTACCCTTGGAAAGTGAGTTGGTATATCGGATCTACAATCACAATTACAAGTCAATAGTCGATAAAGTGATTCCTACTAATTCGCTTCAAGAAGGATCTGGAAAAGCAAATATGATATATTTTAAATTATGTTTGTTTGAAAGTAGCTATCCATATCATGAGTTGGACATGAGATCCTGTGAGTATATGAATGATGCCTCTATTTCAAACCTTGCAATGCAGGTGTCTTACCTATCTAACCTGCCTTATGATCTTAGATATCTTTAAGGGTACCCAGAGGTTGGAATCGATTAATGCGACCTGATGTAGCCTGAGGTTCGAATATTGTTCGGAGGTAGGTGATGTTCGGTACTGCGTTTTACGATCCTTTTTTATTATTATTATTAGAAGATTCCTGAAGGTTAGTTGACTACTGACATTGACTACAATTACTGGGTAGTGTATTTGAAGCTCTGCGGTTACGGATGAGATAAAGTGGTATGGGGTGGTAAAATAATATGTCAGATTTCAAGTCGAACCGAAACACACAGTAACGACAGACTGGTTCTAATTAACAGACCAAATACCAATTACGTCCAGTCATATTGCGCACTGCGGCGAACAAGGGCCAAAGGAGTGGATGTGGAATTTATAACATTGTGTGTGTGTGTGTGTGTTGTGTGTGTGTGTGTGTGTGTGTGTGTGTGTGTGTGTGTGTGTGTATATAGAATTCCACGTCGATTTCAGCTCACATGCGGGTAGCCACTTCAGGCAGCCACACCCACCGGGATTGACGAAGCGGCAGCCGCGGCAGGACGGGTGGCGGTCCGCATGGGGCCCTCGGCAAACTCGCGTTCCACAGCAGCCTCAATAGCTTCGTTTTCCTTCAGCCTCAGCTGCGCATCATTCCAAATCGGCTGGTTCTCAGCCTCGGCGCCCTCAACACCCACGCCGACGAAACCGCCTTGCGCTTCCCAATCGCTGGTGCGTTTAATGCCCAGCTCGTTCCAGACGGTTTGGACGGCCTGCACCAGGTGGTCGCGGTGATGCTTGACATGTCCAGGGGTGGGCGTGATACGGAGACGCTCCTCACCCCGAGGCACAGTTGGGTAATTAATAGCTTGAACGTAAATTCCATGCTCCTCAAGAAGCTTGTCCGAGGCCTTCTTAGCAACCTCGGCATCCCCAACCAGGAGCGGAATGATGTGAGAGGGGTTTGGAATCACAGGAATATCCAACTCCTTGAAAGCTGCTTTGACCGCGCGGGTGTGCAACTGCTGCAGGACACGGTCGCCCTGGTGACGAGCCTGATACTGGATAGCAGTGTCTGCACCAGCCATGGTAGCGGGCGGCAAGGACGTAGTGAAGATGAAGCCAGGGGCGAGGGAGCGGACGGTGTCAACCATCGCAGCGGATCCAGCAATATAGCCCCCGACACATCCGTAGGCCTTGCCGAGAGTACCAGTGATGATATCGATACGGTCCATCACGGTTCCCTCCGTACTGCGCGGGTTGGCCGTATCTTGAGAAGCATAGATGTCATAGTCAAGGTGCTCTGCCACACCTGCTCCGTGAGGTCCGTACATTCCCACAGCGTGAACTTCATCTAGGAAAGTAATGGCACCGTACTTGTCTGCAAGATCACAGATTTTCTCAATTGGTGCAATAGATCCACACATGCTATAAACCGATTCAAATGCAATGATCTTGGGGACATGAAGAGGTAGGGATGCCAACTTAGCCTCAAGGTCGACCAGATCATTATGCTTGAAAACCATTTTCTTGGCGCCTGAATGGCGAATACCCTGAATCATGGATGCATGATTCAGGCTATCAGACAGAATAACACAGTCCGGCATCTTGCTACCCAAGGTTGCGAGGGTGGCATCGTTGGCCACGAAGCATGAGCTGAAGACCAATGCCGCCTCCTTGCCGTGCAATTTGGCCAGGGTGCTCTCCAGGCCCACGGCATGTTGATTGTGACCTGAGATGTTGCGAGTACCTCCCGCACCAGCTCCATAGGTGTCCAACGTCTTATGCATGGTGGCCAGAACCTCGGGGTTGCGGCCCATGCCGAGATAATCGTTTGAGCACCAGACCGTCACACGTTCCTCGGTAGATGTGGTGTGAGCCCGGGGAAACTCCTGAGCGAGACGATTGATGTTGTTGAAATAACGATACGACTTGTCCTTGTGTTTCTTTTCCAATT